GAATATAGACTTAAACAAGTTGTGGCCTAAGGGCAAAACTAGTCTACATGACAGTCCTTCAGTTATTTCTCGTTTTAGGACAAAACTGATCAATGTGAGTCTAATACTGCATTCAGTTCATGCGTGATAAAGGGCAGATGTGGTTATAACACGGCAGCGTGTGTATGTTGATGTGTATGATTGCAGAGTTGGTTGCTTGAGGGTTAAAAACACACTACAGTGACAATATACTACATTCATAAAATGTGGGACATGACAGTCCATCATTTTTGCTTTTTCAGGCACTTCTGTGTCATTAAGCGCCAGGACGAATATATCAGCACGAAAAATGAAAGTCTCCCAGTCGTAATTACAAACTGGTTGTTGGCATAAATGATGTTTACAAGTTGGAAACTGGTAATTACAGTTTCTTCCACATGACATGAAAGTGGTACAAGCCTGTGAGGACTCCTACTGCCCGCTTATGCTAATGTAGTTCTTCTTCTTATATATATATTAAACAGTTAAAGCCATTTTACCCACTGGTCATGCTCTATTGCTCTAATACTCCATTAATAACAATAATCAATGTGTTAGCTGTATAAATTTGTATATTCTTAGATATAATTACATTTTATGCATTTCAGTTTAATTTTTGGCTGCTGTGACAAACCAGATTTTCCCTGAAGGGTAAATAAAATGTCATCCTATCCATTGCCCCCACCTAAAAGGAACACCTGGGGAAATACTTAATCATCTCTCATGAAACCATCATACCCTTCACAACTGAGAGCACACGTTAAACAGAGCGTCACATCCTGGCGTGAATTGGCGCTCACCGGTGAGAAGAAGAGTAAAATCCCAACCACAGGCTACTGTTGTGACCCTCTGACTCAGGCTCGTGCAGAGCTGAAGAGTTGAGATGTCGGCATTGTGGCCAAGTCCCAGCTGGCCTCTGTGATTCTGTCCGCAGACAAATACCTCTCCATTCTCTGTCCAACACAAAATACACCACAAACATTTGGGAGCCATGAAATCAATTGTTAGTGAGCCAAAAAAACAAACAGAAATAGATGTTTTAAATATGACGGTGCACAGAGACTGAGTTGGTTAGACAGTTGAAGCTTGAGGGGATGAGGAAAAAAAGCATTGACAAAAAAAAGAGAGTCACTTACACACTCGACACAGTCTGGTCGAGGCAGACGACCACCCAAGCAAGGCCGAAGGGTCTGTCCTATGTTTCTGCCTTTTAACAGGCAGT